ATATTAAAATATCCCAAATAAAAAATAAAACCCATTCACATGGGGGAAATAAATTTCTACTATCTTAAATTGGCATCGGCAGCTTCGTAAAGTTTGATTGGCGCAGACAGGCAGGACAGCGCCTACTTGAGACTGGCAATCTGCAGTATCGGACGCTCAGTTGCAGATGCTGGCAAACTATGGTATTCAAAATGGACACCATCAATATTTGCTGGATTAAGTTAATCCCGGGGATTTTACAAAACTGGGAGATGCGACGTTAGGCTTGAGGAAAACGAGGTGAGTAGAATATTGGTAAAAATGAGGAGGGCAGGGGTATAAACTTCACAAAAATGGGGGATCAAATAGTATAGAAAACCAACATCAAAGGCGACAGGGTTCAGTAACATGCACCGGAAGATACTTACGGCATTTTGACGATGAAAGTAGAAAGAGACTGGAGAGTTGTCGATAATGCAAATCTGGTCGATATCCCTACCTAAGACCTCGAGGTGTTTGATATAATTGTTCTTGAAACAGATGCAAGCCTCGCGGAATAGCCGATGTTTGAGGTGTCCGTTAGGATCGATCCGATCACATACTGGATCCGCATACTGATGATGACGGCAGCAAAAGCAGGTGTGGGATGAAATGAACAAAGAAGCAGTTTTAAAAAAGGTATTGTGTTGGGAAAAAGCTATATCTAAAGGGTCAAGATACGCAGTGGCGGTCAATTTAGGTGAATTGAGTTAAAAGAGACCATGAGGGAGTGTGCGCCGAGGAAAACGCGCTCGCTTAAAATTAATTCAATGAAGGCGCGGAGGTGCTTCTCTAACTACGATCAACGTCCGATGTCATTGTCAAAACTGGTTCTCCGATGCTACAAAGTTGCAGCAAGAGTACGTGGAAATCTCCAGTGCTTTGTACGCAATAAACACACCAGAAGACAGATATCGCAACATCATAAACTAGACGTTACACGCTACTGTTCATTTCCACACGCGAAAAGTAAAAGTAAAGCAGTTGGAGGGCTTACTAATCGATACTGTTAGAAACGCTCAGTATGGCGAGTGCTGCAAGAAACTCCGTAATCTGAAAAAGACCGGTAATCACTCGCAAACCAACATTGAGTAGGAGTGCAATATTGTTTATCATGCAGTCTAATTTCAGTTATTTTCAGTCACGCTAGGATGCCGATTCTGTGATGAGCTTCCTTCTAACCGCCGAGAAA